GGGTATGTCCATACAAGGGGGTCACTTGTAGTTAGAGATTTGTATTCTGATCAGGGCGGGAAAAATCTGTTTTTCAATCATTTGGTCTGTTCACCGGCTGAAGAGAGGTTGCGTAATCTTGTGCAGCTCGGAGTTTCTATTAGGCTAAACGAGCAATAGTTCAAAAGTCTTATGTTTAATGACCTCGATCTTAGCCCTTTCTGAAATTTCGCTGGCTTACCCCGTTTCATTCACTGGCTGTGACTAGCATCCTCTAGAGGTATCAGAAACCAAACGTTCACTGTAAGACTCATTGTGAGGATTCGTTTTCTGAATACAACTTACTGCAAGAGGAGGTTTCTCTTTCAATGTTCTGAGAAGTCATCATCTCAGCTAGTGTGAGATATCGGTCTCAATTGGATTGAAGTAAAAGGTTGATGGTAACGAGGACCAGCAATGGTCGGCACGTTGTTGTTCGCTGAGTCTACGTAGTAGCTGTGTTTACACGATTTTCGTGGAAGGAGTAATTGAATTTTGTTTGTCAAAAGTTGGAGTCAATGTGCGGATACAATTCTCAATTGCAGAACTCTTGGCTTCTCAGCTGCTGTTCATCAGAATCGAAATCTCGAACAGCGTGTGGGTTTCTCGATGAATATCTATTCTACTGTTATGTATTGCTTATCCTCTTTAGGATTCTTCATCATATTCTTCTCACTGTACTTGCTTCTAACTGTCCCTTCCAAGCTGAGTCCGTTCTCTCGATTTGTCTTACATGGACATGACGTGTTGTGAGTAAAACTGCTCAAACAATATATCACAACTGTTTTTTGAAGAACTGGGTTTACTCAAGTCTTTTTGACTGTTGGAATGCAGTCCTATTTCATCTTACCATGTGCTAGTGTATACAACGCGGGAATTCTAAGTCGTTTCGAAATTATGAGTACTATGCACCAATTTTGGATTGTGATTACTCTGTTCGCAAGTAACCAGCTATGATTGAGAGTGGAAGATGGAGCTAACTCACTTTCAGGTAGCGGAATGTTCTCTCTTCTTCTCGGAATTAATCGTGTATTCGCTGTTTCAATGACGTTGTCGGATAGAACGAAGAACGTCATTTTTAGAATCTTCTTTCTGCAATGGTTCATACAGATAATATTCTTTGCTACCATTGGTCTCACGTTGAAAGATGCTGGCGAAAGAGGTCGAACTGCATGTATACAGGTGATGGATTCTCTGCTTCATTGAAACAATTCCGTTTTCAGATGATTAAGGAGTATCCCATAGAGATGGATACCTTACATGGACTCAACATCATACCCACCGAAAGCATATTGTACATGATCTTTATAGGTTATGCTTTCCTAACTATTGCCTTCTACTTAGTTGTCGCAAGTCTCTGTGGAGTAGTCTTATACATTAACATCAGAGATCAGGGGAAGTCGACGCAGTCTGCTCAGTTCCTAGCCAATCAGCGTAGAATTTCTTTTGGCATCATTTACTACGTAAGAGGTAGTGCAGTGAAAATCTAAAGCTCTTCTTCAGGGAGTTGTCGAGTCATGCGGAGTGGGTGTCCCTATTGGGATACTTGGCTTTTGTTTCCTTTTCCGTATGGGCAACTACGGTAGATTAACTGTTCCACAGCCAGTGCATGATACAATCCCTGTTTTCAGTCATCGCTCATTTTTTATTTATTTTAATATGCTTTTATCCAATTGCTGGTCCTTATTACTTGTTGATGTCCAATGTCGACTACAACAAGAGGGTGAAAGAGATAATGAAGAACATCCGCTCTAAGCTCTGTTCCTTCCGCTCCAGTTTTCCACCAGTTGTTCAAAGTTACTTCAAAAGCGTTTTTCAGATTAAAAGGTGAATTCAAATCCTAGTGCTATGACCGTGACTTCATAGGGTTGATTATCCCCGTAGGAACTCCTGAAGGACTCATAAATGTAATTTCTTCAATAGAAAGATTTTTGATTTTTGATCGTGTATTGCAGGATTTCATATTCTAGTTAAATGCTTGTATGCCTTGAGTATATGTATTGACCAAACATTATGATCATTTGTATCTTTAAAAATCTTCAATCTCACCATTGAAGAAACCGACCCGTGTCTCCCCAACCATACATTTCAGTTCTCTGCATATTCGTCCAATCTCATAGATTTTCATTTTCTGTCTCACTCATCTTGTTGTTCACTAGATTAATGGTTAACCAGCAGGTTTCTCACTTTCCTTCTCGCTCCGATCTGCTCCAATGTATGATTGTAATGATATGTACTATCAGTTGATAATAAATGAGGAACAAAAAGAGTTTCCACTGAAGAGGAAATCTAACTGAGTAACAGCTCATTCATGTATTCACACCCAAAATTAGAATTTTCTCGTTTTAATATTGAGGATGCAAGCCTATTGAACGGTCATGGGAGGAGTCCAACCGTTCTGGACGATGGGATTTGGAACGCGGCTGCCCTGGGCGATAAAGGATGGAATGCAACCATTCTGGCCAATGATGGACGGAATGCAACCGTTCTGAACGGTTTTTAGAGGAATGCAACCTTACGGTGCGTTTGAGAAAAGACCTGGACTTGCCCAGGTCTCGTCCCCGGCTTGCGAGCCGATGAGCTTTTTCCTCCTCTCTGGAGAACCTCCAGAGAGAGAGGAGTGGAGCTCACCGGCTCACACCGCCAACTAAACTGATTGAGAAGCCTCACGGCTTATATACCCCCGTGGAAACGCGTCACGTGGAAATAATTTTTACGTGAAAAATAAAATGACGCGATCGTTCTTTTTCGAAAAAATGCTCCAACTTCTCTGAAATTGTATCAAATTGAATGTTTCTTGGGTTGTTTCATATCAAAATTTTTTTTTACTCGAATATGATGTTTATTTTATGTTTTCGAAACGTCATCGAAATTTGTAAGGTATCAGCTTCGAATCATCTGAAGCCTTCTGATCATGCAAACGCTTGGTTATGCTTCATCTGATCAGATGACATGAAGTAATCCATTCACAAACGTTCCAAATCCCCTTGAACCATTTGTTGTTGTTGATTATCGCCATCAATACTCTTTGTAGTTCGTTGTTGTAGT